TGGTACAACAAGGAAATTTAATGATAGAGGTTACCACGACACAATATAATTATGTTGAATATATTACTTATAACTTCAGAGGTTTTCCTGTCATCTCAGACAATAAACTGGCTCAACTACCTCCTATTGTAATCCAGTATCTAAGATCAGAAACACCGATGGCAAATGTATATTAATGGCTCGCCAGTACTGAAGGTCACTCTCTTCCTCCATTATCTCCGACAATATGAGGAACGCAAGGACTCATTCACTCGTTGATTTATGGCCAATCTGCACCATAAACGATTTAGAAGAGATCTCGCGAAAAGAGAAGGAAATTCAGAACAAGCTATAAATTAAACAGAACCAATCCCTCGCGGACAGAAGATGAATCTGGTAAACACACAACGCTGACTAAAACCGGTGCAATCACATGAGAGCTTGGGCCCTTCTACTGGCTCATACTATAGTAATCATGGCAAACACAAGGTAAAAACTTGATTGCAACAAGCATCCATCTCCAGTCACTACAAGCTAGCGAACAGCTCTTCAATCTTTCTCATCTTTTGATCTACTAGCATAAAAGGGATATCAGTTCAACCCGTTTCCGATATCTGCTTGAATGGTAAATATTCCATGCTGATAAAACGGCAGAAAAACTCGCTATGCACAGAATGGGCTTACTTTTTCCTTAGGGGAGCTACGGGAAGGTCGTTTGACGTGCTGCGTTTAGATAAGATTTAGACAAGGTGGGATTATAGGAAACCTATAAAGTTTTTGGCTCACTAAGCAAAGGTACCGCAAGATTTCTTAGACATGGAGACAAAGGGATGGGCAAGCGACGGAGGGTAACACTTCAATTATCTGGAATATTCCTTGACATAAAACGCCCAATGAGCTCGGCGACATAGAGAGAACGCCCATGATGGAACATTTCGAGTACAACGACCTACGGTACTAAGGTGTTGAAGGACGACCAGTCTGCCTAACAAGTTCATCACCTCAAAAGTGATTATACTATTTATAAAAATGAGCGGAGCCAAAGAGCACTTATTTTTTGTTTTGGGGGAGTCCCAGTCCGCCGAGGCGGTTTTGATTAGGCTAATATAAGAAGCAACCTCAACCAAGAATTACAAGATAGGAGTCTTGCACGGGGTTATGGAACACGCATACGCATCTGGACAAGTGCGCGCATATAAAGAAATTAATACCTGCAACACACAGGTGTGTGTGTGTGTGTGTGTATATATATATATATATATATATATATATATATATATATATATATATATATATATGTGTGTGTGTGTGTGTGTGTGTGTGTGTGTGTGTGTGTGTGTGTGTGTGTGTATTATATATATATATATATATATATATATATATATATATATATATATATATATATATATATATATATATATGTATATATACATATATATATATATATATATATATATATATATATATATATATATATATATATATATATATATATATATATATATATATATGTATATGTATATATACATATATATATATATATATATATATATATATATATATATATATATATATATATGTGTGTGTGTGTGTGTGTGTGTGTGTGTGTGTGTGTGTGTGTGTGTATACATATATATATATATATATATATATATATATATATATATATATATATATATATATATATATATATGTGTGTGTGTGTGTGTGTGTGTGTGTATGTATCATACACTTACAAATACACATTTCACCTTTTAGCCATGGTTCTCTTTCATCTCCTCTCCCGTTCTTTACATTCTCTTCCTTGCCTCCATTGATCCCCCACGTTAACTTCATTTTTTTTTTCAGAAAACCTACACCCAACTTTCCATCTTTCCTCCTTCTTATTAACCTTATCTGAAAGCTTTTCCGAACACCACCCATTTTTATTTACTGACAGTCTTGTAAAAAAAAAAAGCATTTTAAATATTGTACAGTAAAGTAACACCTGCTCACTCAAGTTACCAACCATTAGTTACCACCCATTCCCGTGTTTTTAAGTGGCATCCATCATTCTTAAGAATTGGACATCACACCTGCCATATTCATTTCATCAGAACATGCACTGGCGTATCGGTAATTCCTTGCAAGTTATTCTTTTGATTTCATTACGCAATTTCCCATGTAGATGCCATATGTTACCAACAAATGTTCTTAAAAAAAACAATGGTATACATCACATCTAAATCAATCACCATTTGTCAATATACCTCACTGCAAAATGTGTTAACTGATTATAGGTGATTTCACTGATATGTCGCATAATATGAAATATTTTGTACTTCTATGAAGCAACCCTTACATAGTTATGTGTGGACGACCATGATCGGGTATTTGATAAAATGAACTGGCATATACTTTAATACGCCCACGCACGCACACACACACACACACACACACACACACACACACACACACACACACACACACACACACACACACACACACACACACACACACACACACACACACACACACACAC